CAGTGCTCGTCATCATCTTACAGAGGAGCTCACTGCCGTGGAAGAGACCGGCCTGCACCACCAGCTGCGTTGAAGCAAAACACACACATTTACACATTATGGGGTGATTTAAATAAGGCCTCCACTGGTTGTTTAGAAGCTGAAGTGTTTAGGAGTTGCATAAGGGGGGTTGTTTTTTTTGTTTTTTTTTAAAGATTCACAGAATAGGATAGAGATGATTCAGAGTTTCCGGTGTCATTTGCATTATGAGTCAAGGGGTCTACAGCTTTAATGTAAACAGGTTACCATGGCTCTCAAATTGAGTCAAGGAAGCAAGTCCAAAGTGTAACGACTCACAATTAAATATCAAACATTAAAGGATAGTTCAGTGGGTGAAATGGACGTACAGAGAAGTTCAAACCCCATCGACACCTCCTTTCTCTGCAGATCTCACAATTCTAACCTTCCACCATAAAACGGGCGAATTGAAACGGAGCACCGAATTGATGTCAATTCGGGGATGATGCCTTATTTGTTTCTGGCCTGTACTTTTGTCACGCCCCGAAATTGACATACAGGCTAGCCCACTGGTTAAATGGCCCAAGGGAGGGGGGGTATGAAGTGTCGACTGCTGTACCGCTGACCGGACCGGACCTCAGCAGAGAGCCATTAGCCGCTCATCCTCAGCCGGAGGAGGGGGGCTGGGGGCCGGTAAAAGACATCGGAAGTCTCCGGTGCGATTGCACCATAGTCGACCAAAATCCTGGACGATTTTGAAATATCCGCCGGACATTTGTTTAGGTTTGAAAAGTAGGACATGTCCGGGAAAAAGAAGACGTCTGGTCACCCTACCATATCATCAATTTGATGTTTCAGTGAGTGAGTGCTTGTTGCTATGACGTGTCTTTGCTCAGCAGCTTCGCTCACTGTAAACCAACCAATCAGAGCACAGCTCATCTAAATATTCATCAGCATACCATAAATGGAAGAAAACCTGTTGTTTCATTCTAGGGCTTTTAACCAGGCTTGTATTAGGGCTCAGAACAGCAAATATGCCATTTTCAGCCCAACCAATGTTTCACACCCTATTCAGAGACCTTAAGGACCAGCACCAAATACCCTATATAATCATTCTATGACCCCTTTAAGATATTCTATCCCAAACTGAGATTATAAAAAAATAACCCCCCAAAAAAATTAAGTGCCTCCGTGTTTCAGTTACAAAATAGACCCAAAGTTTGATAATATGGTAACTTAGCCATGAGATACGAAACTCACTTTCTCGACAATATATTTGCAGCCTGCAAACATACAGATCAGGTCAAGGACCGAAATGTAGAGGGTAACAAAACGCATGCAACAAACAACCAAAAAAAGAAGTGCATCTGAAAGCAAGAGAAGGGGAAAGAGCACGAAGCCCGCCTTTTTTCTTAGAATCTAGGCCTCAGAGTGAGACATAAAAAGCCAGATAGGCCCTCCCCACTTCCTGTTTTGAAGTTTTAACCAACCGCCTTGATGAATTATGGGAAACGTGCGGTTTGGACATGTGATCACCCCCCCTCTTTTTGTCATTTACATGTTAACCTGACTGCTCCTACAACTGAAATTGACATATTGGTAAACAAGCCAACGCCACATTTCATTGAGCAGCAAAGTGAGAGAAAACCTACGCGAAACCACACCAACCTTCATTCCCTCATCTGCGTTGACTCTGCTACCTTGCAGAAGGTGGATGTAAAAGGGCTCATTTATGGACCAGAGGGAGGACGTGTTCTGCTGCAGGAGAGAATANAGACAGCGAAAAAAAACAAAAAAGTTTTTCTCTTAGCTGAAAACAAATTTGCATTCGCTGCTTTCGGTGTAGTGTAAGTCCTGAAGCTCTTAGTGCAGTTTCCTGTTTGTTCAAGAAGTAACAACACACAGCTTAATTTTTCAAAAGCAGGCAAGCATGAAACCACTAGAGCTTTCTGAAAAGACATACAAGTGAACAAAAACTCTACAAAAAGCTGCCTAGGATGTATGTCTGAAATGATGCTTAAATGATTCACAAGGTGAAAGTGAAGCAGCGAGGAGGACTAGAGTTTAAAAATAAAGACTGACTATTACTTTATAGCTTAAGTCTTGTTAACATGAGGTGAAAGGAGGCCACTATATGAGCTATATACAGCTTTACAGCTGCAAAGCATTCTTTACTTGGAGGAGGTTGTTGTCTGAGGGTAAAAAGGCCTGTTAATGGAAGTCCAACATTTGTTTTGATTACAACAGTTAGCAGAATTTTTGCCAAAAGTTTCAATGAAACACATTAGCAGAAATGCTTTTGCAGCCATTGCTCAGAATGAAGCCATATTGGATTTTAAGGTTAGGTTGGAACAAAACCACCAACTTAAAAAATGAAGTTTCTAACTTCCAAGTATCCATATTTTTAATTACTGGTTCATTAAATGTATTCATCAGCTTTAAGAATTTTCCTTATCTGTTAATTAATTTGTAGTTCTAATGAACCTGAATCTATCTTCTTTTGGGGGGGCTTTAATAACATGAAACAACAAGCTGAAAAAGTTCAGGACTTTTCCTAGGAGCCTTAAAGAAGCCGACTATCATAGTATTACACAGCAGCTCTAAGCATGCTAAAGTCCACAAGCTGGTTTAGGATTAACTGATGGGAAACAGAAAGCATTGGCAGGTTAATGGCCGACGACTTCATACCTTCTTCAGGGGCAGAGGGGGAGGTCTGGACAGGGAGCGGGTTTTGTACATCTGACTGCCCACTCTGCCTTGATCCTCCTGGTATTTGCTGATTGTGGAGTGGTGCACCATGGTAAGCTGCGGGTTTTGACCGTTCCTCATACATGAGAAAATGTACTGCAGAAACAAACAAAAAAGACAACAAGAGGTTTTTTTTTTTTTTTTACTTTTGTTTCTTTTTTCTTTCTTTTTGTTTACTGTTAAAGCAACCAGTTAGCTCAGCCACAGATATTTCCCAGCGTCCTGATAGCACTGGTTCAACTCCTGAAGGCCATTTATTTGCTGCAAGTTAATGCAGTGAAAATCTCATTATGTGTGGATGGAAGCAGTTCCTCTCTGCAGAGCTGCCGGACAGATATGACTCACTCCAGCAGGTAGCTGGGGTTTCAAAATCAACAGGGGAGACTCCTGCCACCAAAAAAACCTCCACTCAACCCGCTTCTGATGTGACAGACACCACGGCTGTTTGTCCGACCACCTGCACCGGTTCCAAGCTAACAAATAGCAGACAAGGCGGGTCAAAAAAAAAAATACTTTCAGTTACCTTTTCCAGAGCTAAGTAAAAAGTAAGTTTTTTTTTTACTGAAACCCAGACTGCAAGTCTGAACTGAAACCGTTTCATTGTGAAGTTTTTTGCATTTTTGATTTATTTTTCGATTTACACAAGTTCAATTCTGCTACATCCCTGCAGAAGAAGGACATAAATGATAGGAGGTTTCTGGCAGCTCTGTAAGAGATTTCTCCATGGAGAGAGGGAGCCTGTTGGAGAAATTACTGTGACATCTGTGCAAAGCGCCTCTCTGCAGCAGGTCCAGAAGGCTGGAGAGCGTAGGAACAAATCAAAAATGCTAGATTGGGTCTGAATGAATTTGGGCCAAAAAAGAAACGGTTCTTTAGAGTGATTGTAAACTGAGACACTAAAAGAAACAAGGAAAACAAAAAACAAACTAGAATTCAACCAGTAAATGGAATAAACCAATTCCCTTTTCATTGTTCAATGAAATACGAAAAAATTCACTTTTTCTCCAAATTCATTAATTTCTTATAACTAGATTTTCCCATTAGTTGCACTGTAATACCATCAAGCAACAGCTTAGAATCCATTGTACCTTTATTTTTTTATTGTAATAAGATCTTTGCTAAACAGATTAACCTTTTTTCCCTCCGTTACACTGCAGACAATTTCACCCAGCTGCTCTCTCAGCATGTCTACACATATTCCCAGATCAGTGGTCACCTTGGGGTTAAGGTCCCTGGCTAAGCGGACAGTGACAAGAAAGACCACTGGAATTGCACCGACAACTTTCTCACAGCTAGACGACTCACTCATAAATTCTTCCTTTTTCAGTTGGAATTATATCTTCTAGCTCAAATTGATGGTACATTTTTTTTGCTTTGTTTGTGCCACGGATCACCAGAAAAGAAATAGAATAAGTTGAAATCGGAATTAGAAAATCAGAAAAAGTTTAATTGCTGAACAACACTGACACTTCACTTTCTGCTTCACTCACACTTTTCAAACCTCCGGTTGTCTGTGCTTGACAGGTCAGGAGTGTATTGTTTTTTTTTTTTCTGATTAGTAAATAATATCTCATGAAATTAGAAAGTTATATGAATGACAGAAGGTTTGGGAGAAGCTGCAGCAGAGTTGGTGGCGTTTATCCTCATTAACTTATCTGACGGCGAAGCTGTTATCCATAAATCTAATAGTTTTGCTGTGTTAATGGTATCCCTTATCTCTTACTGGTAAAATTCTAAGGTTAAAGCTGATTAATGGAAAAAGATTGCAAAAAAAACCCAAATCTATAAAAAGCCCATAAAAGATAAGATAGATCTTTACAAAATGATAGTAACAAGCATAGCAAAAAAACATAGGTTAGGCTTAAACCATTAATAAACCTTTCAAAATATATTTTGAGTTTTTTAAATAATGAAACATGACAGAACTAAATTAGGTGAACCGTCCAATAGGATGAAGTTTGATCCAGGGAAATAAAAGCTGACTATATGATGGATATTTATCTAGTTTATCCCAGTATTGTGTCAGAAATGCCCTGATCATCCTTCTTCTGGTCAATACAGACTGTAGGTTTTCTTTTCTATTCGCTGAAGACAATTTGTTCTCTAAGGGCGATCACGTATAACAGAGAATTTTAAATTGAGGTAATAATTCTGAAAGTGTATTAAATACCAGATTTCACCCCTCATCAAAACATTTGTCTCTCTCTGATTTTTTAGATGGAAAAGCAGTGAGAGTTCTTGGTTTTTAACACATTTAATGAGCAGAAAATAGAATAGGATATCTGCACCAATAAGAACTGATAGAGGAACACGTGGCTGACTGATTGGTGTATCTCTATTCAAAACGTCTGCCATATTATTTAAACAGAAACAGAAACTTGAGCTTTTGAAAAATTTTTTTTTTTGCAGCAGCATACAGTTTGGCACCTGAATGCGTTCTCACGGCCAGAGCCGACATCTCTTTTCAGGGTTTCAATCATGCTGAAAGCTGAAAGAGCAAATAATGGATTCATTTCATATGAATATCCGTCTGGAAAAGCCTTGGTGTTACATCCACCCTCAGATAACCTAAAATGGCTCCATAATATTCCTATCTCAAGTAAAGGGTTTTCCAAACAGCTTAAAGGAATATTTACAAAGACCTCAAAGTTTCAGCTTGTCTAAATTACATTATATTACATATAATAAGTGAATGTGGCGTTTGGTTTTCAAAGTGAATATAATTTGAGCTTCATGTTGTAAATGAGAGTGTCTAGGTGGGTTATCTGTAGTGTCTCACCTTGAACTGGCACAGCGGGTGGCTCCCGTAGATGAACTCCCATCTCCCGTTGACCTGCAGGGTGTAATCCTCAGGTTCCTGCCGCACAGAACGGAAAACTGTGGCCTTCTTTTTCAGCGCGCTTTTCATCAGCGCCACAGGGAGGTCCTGGCAGTCCTGCTGCAGCATGAAGCTTTCCTGAAAGAGCCATGCAAAAGATACAAGTAATTTAGGTGGCACCTGTATGGAAAGTGGAGTTTGTTTTTTTACAAGATGTGTTGAAGGTTGGGTTAATGAGGTGGGTGGGGGATTTCCAAAGTTTCTTATTAATGCTTATAACCATCCTCCACAATAAATCTACTCAAGATGGAACCAATGTTTTTTTTTTTTCCAATCAAAGTGACTGCACTCTGCAAAAGCAAAAAAACACATGTCGACTGTTTGACTCATAACCCAGTAACACAGCAGAACAACTCACATCGCTCGACTCAAACTTTATGTTGATGAAGAGCTTCTTGCTGTGCTTCGACTTTGCGCTCCCGCTGGCTGCCGGTGATGGCTCCAGCTCACACGGAAAGCTGTACTCCATCCACCGCTGCCAGGGTAAATTTTGCCGCTCCACTGCCTTCTCTTCGCAAAACGTGCGCATCTTGGTTCGAAACTCGTCCACCTCATGGTTCTTCTGAGCTTCAAACTCGTGCAGACCTGAATGTTCACCAAAAAAAGCCTTAGAAAACTGGCTCTGGATTCAATTAAGGAGATAAACAGCTACTTTTAAACAGGAGAACATTACCTTGAATTCCATCTTTACTAAAAATGTCTAAAAACTGATTCACAGTATATTTAGCTAAGCATGTCCTTTCTGTGGCGCTGCTTAAAAGTATTTAAGCAGGTCTGCTAAAGGGTTTTTGAGCTTCTTATTTCTCCTATTTAATAAAGAAAGAAACAAATAAGTTTTTTTCTTTTTGCAGATGCAACTAATTATTCTGATTTTTCCCAAAAATGCAGCCAAGCACTTAAGGCTTTAAAAAGATTTAAAAAAGGTTTGAAAAAAAAAAGGACATAGAACACAATCCACTGGTCTAATTTGAACTCAGACCATTAGAAATGCTAATAAACTAACTCTTTATCATTAACATAAAAATGTCTTTTCATAGTAATAATTTCGATCTATCATGACCCTGAGTTCAGATTAATGATGGCAGTATCACTGGGATTGTTAATTCTACTTTTCTCCAATGACAGTTACATAATAGCATCAGTAATGTCAAAACAATAAAAAGATTAAAACAGTTACAGTGTGGAATTTGTTGATCAAATGTCCGCTGGTTGATGCTATTACAGTCTTATGTAAGTGGTGTCCTGAAGATGTCTGTTTAAAAATGGGCCTGATTTAATAGCAGAGTTTATGTTTGTGGGGCTTTAGTGAGACGCTGCCTAATTTTTTTTGTCACTTTTATTACTATAATGTTAAATGCCAAAAAATATAGAGATAAGATTTCAAGTCTATATCGCCAAATAGATATAAAAAATCAGTCATTTATATCTGTAGCAGCCCTGTTAGATTGTGAACTCACAGCTGTTCTGATCCATTCTGCTATGATCAAAGGGTTTTCTTGTTAGATTTACAACCAGGAACTCAGACAATCCAATTTGCGAGTGCAAAAAGAATCCATCATCATATTGAATAAAGGTATTGACAACAGTAACCCTTTAACAGAACCTCATGCTTCCAATGAGAATCGTTCCCAGAGCAGAACCACAGTGTTGGATCAGAGATGGGTGCAGCCTACCCTTGCCAATCAGCAGACTGATCTGGGCATTGGTGAGCTTCTCGCTCCGGTCCCCCTCCCTCGCCACCAGCCTCAGAACACGCATGAAAGGCCGAACGTCACTGATGCGCCTCGACTCTTCCTCCAGCTCCTCCCGCTCTGCCGTCTGGTTGATGCAGGTGAAGACGTACAGATCGGGATCACCCAGTGCACAGAACAGAGCCTCGCGACTGGCGTTTTTCCAAACCATCTGCAACAACACACACACACACACACACACACAAAGCTCAGATCTCTCTCTTTAGAGACAAAAAAAAAACAACAACATCCAAACAGAACTGCTACTATGGTACTTCTGTGAAAACTGCACAGACCAGGGAGGGATTTAATCTTCCAAGAGAATCATTACCTAACGCAGACGAATCAAACAGCATGAAGTGGCAGAACTGTTGGCACACTTACACTTCACAGCAGATCTGTGAGCCGGCCATGTTTGCTCTGGAAGCTTTTCTGCAGCCCCCTTCTCTAATGGCCGAATGAAATCCAGTGAGTAATTTTGGAACCTGGGTTAGTTTTTATTATCTTTTATTATTATTTTATTATTTCATGTTTGAAGGGAATCTTAAGCCAACAAATTACTTTAAAACAACGTAATATGAGCGACATTAAACAGCTATTTTGAGGCTGTGTGGTCATCTGAGCCACAGAGCATATCTGCAGTCAATCAATTAAAGCCTACTGATAATACAGAGGTATCTTATGATACATGCGCAATGTGCGATTAAACAGAAACTGTTTTATGGTGAGAATACATCAGTAGTTTGAAAGAAAAGCTGAACTCGAGTGTTGGGAGACCTACTTTCTTGATGTTTCTGATGGTGTCATTTTGCGACACAGGGAATTTGAGGAAGATCCCGGTAGGCAGCAGGAAATCCATGTCCTGTTCCCCCTCCTTGTCCCACTCCTCCTGCGTCCCATACTTCCCCGGGGGCATGGTGACGGCCTCTCATTTACCGTCAGCTCCCCTGCTGCTGGCCGGAACACAAACCCAGTTAGAGGAAGCAGACGCTGGGGTTAATACAGGTCCAAGATTAACATAAGTGTACTAAACCAGAACCTCTGTCAGCTCATCTGGAGGAGGGCATGTTTAAAATCAATGAGTGACCATAAAAGATGACAGAAAAGGGGTTCATCTATGCATTGTGCTCAATCTGATCAGAATCATTAAAAAAACACTTTCTTGGTTAAAATAATCCCTTTTTTTAATGTGCAGGTTAATGTCACAGCTCCACATGTTTAGTAAATGCCTCTCTGTGTTTTACCAGAGAAATATGGAGAGGTCAAATAAGGTGAGGACACACAACAAAGAAACTTCAGTTCAACTGAATTAAAGCAAAAACTAGAAGCAGTTTTGAAATCTGCTTCTGCTTCCCACAAACCTACTGAACCCAGTTTGACGGTTTGCCTTTGCAGTAAATTACCCTGTTTATTCTCCTAAGAGGAAACCTGTGCTGTCAGAGCTCAAAGCTGCCTTTATAAAACGCTTCTAAACTCTCATCCAATAAGAACACATTTAGAGAGAATATAGCTATTATTTGTAATAAAACGTGAAAGGAGAAGCTGATAGTTACACGTTCAACAACTCGCATCTAGTTGACGTGATGGCGAAAGGCTTTGCCAACCTGTTGGCGCACACACTTGCCTGTCAGCGCCGCACAGCCCCGGTCACCTCCTCATGGTCTCATTGCTGCTAACATGGAAGCTGGAGCATCCTGCTGTCGGATCCAAAGCACAAATCCACCTGCTCGGCCCGGACTGTGAGCGGTTTCCCCTCCCGGCAGCTCCTGCGATGAAGTGTCTCCCTGCCTCGAAGCGACGCGCTGTCATTCATGCGGTGACGCTGCTGCGCAGCGCGCGCCTAGCGGCGGGGCCAAGGGACCGTCCTCATAACAGACACCTCCTCCTCTTCCTCCTTACATTTAAAGATAACCGCCATTAGTTAACCATCAATTAACATGTACGGGTTTATAAAAAACGTAAATAAATAAATAAAAGAAGAAGAAGAACGAGATTTTCTTCTGTTGCCTTCAGTGGTCTAGAGTCTAGACTCTAGACGAATTTTAAAAGGTGGGGGTCATATAAAAAAAACTACAACAAACAAATACACATAACAAAAAAACAAACAAACAAACAAAAAAAAAAAACAAGAAGAAGAAGAAGAAAAAAAATAGGGCATTATTTTGTACAGCTTCTGTAACATGTGTCCCTTTGGCCCCTTCAGTGTGACTCCAAAGGCACTAAGTAAAATATTTTATGTATTAAGGCAATAGGAAAGGGTTCTGTATATATTTTTTTTAATACAAAGTCTGCATAAAGTATCCATACCAACAAAATATTACTTCTACAGGGCATTTGAAAGCACAGGCGTAGCTTTCTGAAGGACTGTTGGGGACATGTCCCCACCAATAATTTCAATAGATTTTGGCTCTCGGCAAGAAGTGGGATACATTTCTAAATTTGATTTTGCTGCTTTTGAAGGAGAATAATCACTGATGTAGCTGAAAGGGAAAACGTCCATTCAATCCACATTTTTCTGGATGGATGAATGAAACTGAAATTGTGTGCATACTAGGGAGGCACAATATATTGCTGTTAGCATCTGAATGGGCTGTTATTCATCCTTTTTTTAAATATACATTAATATCTAAATACCTATAAATATCGGTGTATTTGGTTCTTTTGTGTTCTCAACAATAGGAAAGCATTCAATAAATTAATGTTTGAGCTCAATTCTGGAAAATACAAACCCTAATGAAAGCGTTTGTGTCGAGTAACTGTAGGTCCATCAGCCATCTCTCTTAATGTGTCCCCACTAACTTTCATCACAAAGTTACACCCTTGTTTGAAAGTTTATATTTGTTTAGCTTTAACTATATTCTTGATATTTTCTAGAGGGGCTAACCATCAGTTTTCTTTTATTTCTTTAGTGCATTGTACAAACCAATTATTACTTTTCTGTTTTTAAGATTAAATTGTATTTTTTTTTTCTTTTAAAATTTAAAAATGGAAAATCTAGATTTGATTTCTTAGGCTTTCAATATTTATAAAATCTTTCTAATTGCTCTTGAGGAATTTTATTTTGTAGCAGCAGTTGCAAAAGTGTCTCTTTGAGTATATAAGTGAGCCTCAAAGCCAAAGTTGTACACCTGATTTTACTGGTCATTAAGGGAAAAACCTTTACAATCTTTTCTCTCAGCGCATAATCATCATAAGAAATTGATTTAGCATTACACTGCAAAAACTGATCTAAAGAGTAAAGGTTCTTAAAAAAAAGTGTACCTGCCCTTAATTTGAGCAGGTAACTAAGATGAGCTGTTAAAAGAAGTAGTATTTATGGCCTTAAAAATAACATAATTAGATTTTAGAAATGTAAGAACGTATTTAAAATAAGTTAATGGAGTTTTTCTAAATGTAAATACTCTTATTCTATTGGAAAATTGTCTAACCTACCTCCTCAAATCAAGGATAAAATAGTTATTTCAGTTGAATTGCTAAATTTTTTTGCAGTGTATGTTTTCAGTGCAGGGGGCAGGCACAGTTCTTCAAGAGATAATGGCCCCTGTTTGCCCCTGTCTACAATCACCCATGCCAAAACTGATTAAAACACAGTCACCCATGCTATGCTTTGTAAAAGTGGGCCTGATAGGAACCAAACACCATAACAGAAGGTTAATTATATGTATTGTTGTGAAAAATCCTGAACCACTTTGGAACCTTTTCTAAAATGAGCCAATAGAGACGTATTATGTATTTAGTCAAGCTTAAACTTTATGAAATTCTTCTTAAGTTTCCAAAAAATATGCATCACCAGAAACAATGAGCAATACCTGTGATAGATTCATATGAAACTTTTATCACAGACTAATAAAAACTGGGCTTTTAACATCGGTGTGTGGAAAAAGAAATAAAATAAAAAATTTAAATATTTCCCACCATTCTGACAGTTTGACACAGACAACACATATTTTCATTTAGCATTATTAAAGATTAGAGCATTGCTGGCTGTAAACTAACAAGAAGTTTTCTCAGTTTCATTGGTGATAAAGTGAGGTTTAATTTTGTACAAAATGTGAGGTGGTCAATGGGGCCAGAATAAGTCACAAGGCACCCTTAGCATAAGTTAAGTTTGGGACCTTCTATTTCTGCCTATAATACCAATCATCCGACAATAACATAATTTACTCGTCTACATTAAACTCATTGCAGCTCTTGCAGAGCTGTTTACCATCTCCTATTATTATTCATCATCCAATATTACTAAAAGTAATAAACAGCTGCAGTGTATTTACAGTAAAAGTGTCATGTGCTTTATACTTCCTTTCGTTCCAGCTGCAAAAGCAATAAAGAAAAGTAACCTATAGTGCAACAAAAACTTGAAACAGATAAAATTACTTTGAGAAATAAAAATAATACATTCAATTTTACAAAACAGACAAATCAACTAAACATGAAAATATTAAGTGTATATATCTATGCCAAACATAAGTCTATCTCTGAGAAGTTTAGGTCCTTCCTGACCTGTGTGACAGTCTGGCCCCAAGACCAATTTTCATGTATAAGTAATGATTATTTCATGATTAAATATATTTTGATGTAAAAAAGGCTTCACCTCTTGTTTAAATTGCTTTTTTTTTAAATAGGTATTTATAGTTAAATCATTGTACATGCAAAAAAACCAAAACAATTAATTGCTCTAAGGGGGCCCCCAAGTTGCCCTGAGGCCCCAAGCAGATGCTTAGTTATGCTTTGGGTCAGCCCTGGTGTTGAACTCAGTCTTAGTTTCCATCTAGAACTACTACACTAAGACGACACAAAAACCAAATTAACACCAAAAAAAAAATCACTTTTCCAACATATGTATACACATTTTTTGTAAAGATATCTATGAGCTTTTTCATTTTCTTGCAAATACCCTGTAGCTGTTTTTAATATCCAGTTTATCCATCCTACTGAGTAGCACATTCCATCAAACAGAGCTAGTTTTTGACAACTGTGCAGTATTTTATTACGTTGGTGTAAACTTTCCTCTTACTGCTGAAAACAAGACTTTTCACAATGTGAAGCCAATAAAAAAAAAGCTATTCTAAAACAGATGGATAAAAATCTAATAGTATGAAAATCCATGTTTTCATGTGACTACACTAACAATCATTATATATTGATATGCTTACACCTCTTTAATTTAGCTCCTACTGAAATATTGTTTTTTTTTTTTATTTTACAATAACAATACATAAATACCTGAAGCTGGCTTATATGTAGGGCAAAACTGCAGCCACAAGTTCCAAAATAGGGCCCATAAAACTCCTGATACACATATAATTAATGCAATTATTACTTAATTGCACACGTTAAGCATGTTTAAGAATAAAATCCTTTCACTAAGATTCAGAAACAGTATCTTCAGTCGCTGCTACATTGGATCAGTTCATCTTACTGCACTTGTGCAGAAAGGATACAGGAAGACAGCAGTAAAAATGGCGTGGGATGTAGGAGTTTGCTCTAAAATCGAAGGGTTGACGGTTAGAGCCCATTAATATAAATCCAAATCTTATTTAAACAAATCAATTTATTTATTATAATTTTTTGTGCAAAACTAATCCAGTAATAAATATTCATCAAGGTATCAACATACATCGGTGCTCATGTCTATCATTTTACCTCTTTAATTTTTCAACAAAATTGATCTAAGTTGTGAACATGGGCTGGATAGAGATGCAGTGATACTACTGTTTTCCTTACAGCAGAAGGTTCCAGGTTCGATTCCTGGCCCAGGGTCTTTCTGCATGGAGTTTGCATGTTCTCCCTGCGCATGCCGGCAAATGACTGGTAGGTTAATTGGATTCTCTAAATTGTCCTTAGGGGAGAGTGTGTGTTGCCCTTCCACAGACGGCTGACCTGTCCAGGGTGTTTCCTGCCTCTTTCCCATAAACTGCCGGAGATAGGCACTGGCCCCACCGCAACGGATGGATGGATGGATGGATGGATGGGAGTTGTGAACATTTTTGCCTTTTAACCAAATATATCTTAAATGGATCCTTAAAAAGTATTTAAAGTTTAGATTATGTTGAAAGGTCAAGAGTGGCTCTTAACATACAGCAGATTCTTTTCAAGTTAAGAACTCTCAAAATGCAATTTTGATAAAGGAAACGGGTAAAAATAACATACTAAAACAAGATTTCAAACAGTCCTGCTAAATGTATCCATTAATATCCTTGTCTGATATATCTATATATGAAAAATATTTAAAAAGCTGATGCTGATGTAAGATATTTTTCTGCATTTGGTGAATCTACCTGGATGTGGTCGGTATGTCTAAACAAAACATATTTGGTAGAACATGGGGACCAAGGCTTTTAACCAGATTTACTGACTGTTTCTCAGTACAACACACTGCTTAAAGTCTTGAGTTTCTGCAAATAACCTTAATATGATAAACAGTATGATCAACCATTTAAAACTATCAATAAGATTTTAATGAAACTATTTGTATTTTTACCAAACGTCTGAAGTAAAGGAGCTTTCTGTTTTAAAAAACTTTATGGGAATCTCACTTTTCCTCCTTCTGGAAACAAGACAGTCTGTTACATTTGTAAACCAATACTGTAAGAAAGAGGAAATATAAGAGGCCACATGACTGCACTCAAAAGGCTTTTTTTTATTGAATACCGTGGCCTAATATTGACTGAAAATTAGCTGAATTATAAAAACGAACAAAACAAAAAAAAAGTCATTATTTTTTTGTTTGTATTTTTTCCTGACTTGCTGTAATCATCCAGTTTACTTCTGAATCTTTTTGGTCTATCTCGTCTTTAAAGCCCCTCCTTATCTTATTACATTTTACACAGTCTGCTCCACTATGAACATCGATAGGCCTTTGAAGATCTTATCAAGTTTTGAAGAGAGAAAAATATGCAACATGAACTTGTGAGCTCAATTCAGACCAGCTGGAAAAAAAAACAAACAACATAGCAAAAAAAAAAAAAAAAAGGAAACAGGAAGCGACTGTGCAGAAGAGAAACTTTTCGGCCTGATCGGCAGACTGAAAGCATGAACATGCTTCCCACCGTCTCCCCCTCGACTGAAAAAAAGAAAGTTCTGTTGCAGAGCTGACAATATACTAAAGTGGTTCCTGACATGTTGCCAAATTATGCTTTCTCTGATGTAAACGTATCTGTTTGTGTACACCATGCTGAAACAGCCTTATTTTTTAAGTCTAAGGGCTCTAGTTTAAACACGCAGTAATGGAGCTTGCAATCATCCAGGGCAGTCGGTCCGAAACACTTTCTACCTCAGATCAGGTCACAAAAAAAAAAGGGTTTAGACTGTATGATGTGCAGAGGGGTGACCTGTTTACTGTCTTTCAGCTAGGCTACCAGCAGCTCTGTGGCAAAGATGTGACAGGATCTCTTCAAGATATATAGATATAATTTTACAATTTAAAACACAGCAACAAATTATACACACCTTTTTCGGGGTTTTGTAGGAAAGAAAACAGCTAAAAATTTATCACAGTGAAGGACACACAAAATGTCCTTTTCTAACTTCTAGAAATTAAAACTTTATTAGTGTAGAGTGGATCTGAATTCAGCCCCTTTTACGTAGAAACCTTTAAATTAAAGTGCAACCACTAATATCAGAACAAACTTTATCATTTAACACATAAATTAAACTCTGTATCTAAATGCCAGCTGCTGTTTCCTTTGAGAACATCAGTGACAGAAAAGCTTCATGAACACCAAGGAACAAAAATCAAGGAGAGGGAAGGAAGGTTATAATGGTGCAGAGAAACATGGAATGCATGCAAAGAAAAACAGGTATTTATGAAAGATGGTAAGAGGAAAGCATTTGTTGAAAGTTGCAGTTTGCAACTAGCCATGTATGGAATGGAGCAAATGTTGTAAGAGACGTTCAGGTCAAATGAGCCCTGAATTCAACTTTTTTGGCCTCCATGCAGAAAACTAAAACATATTTCTCTGAATGCATCATCCTCAGTGAATCACGGTGGTGGCAGCATCATGCAATGGGAATGCCTTCCCTCAATATGGTTCTTTAAAAAGAACCTGTCCAACAACATGAAGTTGTATGCATGCCCTGATCGAAACATCTCAGGACACAATCATTTTGTATTTACGCAGGTTGACGGTTTCATGTTAGTTTGTTTTTGCATGCTGTAAACCAACCTGGCCCTCTCTGAAACATGCAATATATAAATAAACCTGGCCAGCAAAGACAAAGGCACCGCAGGAAAGCCTTCGTCAGCAGCAAAACAATATGCAATTTGTTTAATCCTTTCTAAATATCAAATTCATTTCCAGATTTCTCAAATCATCTACTTTTTTCCCTCTGCAGCAGCTTATTTTAATCATTAAGCTTTAAGACTCAGGGCTTCCTCATTTGAGGGCAGTTGTTAAGAAAGCTTAAATAAGAGGAGCATTTCCGAGAAAAGGTTATTCTGAGAGTTACAGAGAAATGGGGCCCAAATCAAACAAGTTAAAAGGGAAGCAAGGCATGTACTTTGCAACTAATTTAAGAAACAAGGAAAAAAAAAACTAAGCGAGTGCACAAAGCAGGCAGAGGGAGCTTTACTTAGAAATTAGTTGTTAAACACAACTAATTTGTGGCATGGCAAATACCAATGTTGGTTTTAGGGACTCAAACCAGGTGAATATACTGAAGTGTCCATTGCTTTTACTAATTAAAAAAAACAATGCCAGTAAAGGATAGTATGATACAGAAAACAAGAAATGGGTTGAAGTCCGACAATCTTTGTCTTGGTACAATGGAAGACACTGCATTTCTAACCGCATTAATATTGGTCTTCAACACGGCTACTCAAATTTTTTCTTTAAGCAAAATAGAGCTTTGTTTAACACAAATCCTCATGAGTGTAGGTAGGATGAATTTTTAAGGCTATAGTGGTCGACTCTAAGGTCCATTCTAAGGCCAAAAATGTAGTAGTAGGTTTTTCTTTTTTCAAATTTTACTCGCATAGATGCAGATTTGTAATTTAAGTCCAGTTTACCTGAGAAGAGTAAAGATAAAAACTCTTTAAAACCATCTTAACCACAGAAACCCAATTTTAAAGTTTTGACAAAGCTGCAAAATGCCAGGCTTAATGCAGCGGTGTTAAGATCATACTTTTATTGCTCAACTCCAAGCAAACTTATGAGTCAAGAAATTCCAGGAGAGGAGGCAAAGCAAATGCAGTAAGTGGAATGGGTGCGATACTTCATCAGGGCAGAGCTTGCTCAGGAATGGCAGCAGGCAGTCATGCAGAGAGGTGGAGATTTTTAAAGGGAGCGGTTAAAATGGCAACAAAAGGAGTTTATTAGGAAAAAAACATTGTGGGAAGATGTCATTCTGCATGAAATACCAAGACTGAACTGCAGAGGTTTGGGGACATCTGGAAATGGGTGAAAGACACCATTAAAGGATTGCACAAAGAATAAAGCACCTTCAGAACGTCATGCGATGGGTTCCCACAAATGAAGACTTCTGAAGCTAAAACACTAAAGCAGCTTTGCATAACATCCTGGGGAAAAAAATAGATATCTTTTCCACTATGATGGATACTATTGTAATAAGGAAAGTGTAGACCATTCATCAAAATAATAAAATAGTGGATCCACAGCAAGCAAGATCCAAACAAGAACTTGTGGGTTAACAGAGGTAGAATGGGTAACTATTGGTCAGGGTTCGGCCTAAAAAATTGTAAGTATTGCAAATTGGAGAACTTCAAAAGAACGCTTTTAATTAATCATGCTTTTCTGCACAGAACTTTCTAAATTCAGTACTTTCCATAAACCAGCCTAAAACGGCAAGATCAGTGGGAAAAACAACTGATCTGTAAAGCTTAAGGCGAAAACTGAAGTCATTCTTTAAGTTGAAGTAATATACGAAATCATTTAGAAAAAAAAAATACATTTATTTAAAAAGCACTGGTACAGTTGAAGCTATATACCAAACATCACACTCAGCAGACCTTCAGCAGTCCTTATCTTTAAGGACAATTTCCGATTAACACTAGTGGCGTGGAGTCTACGAAAAAATTATACTGTAATCACATAACCGGTACGAAACAATTTCATTTTAAAACAAATTAAACAAAGGCTCATGTCACTGAGGTCAATCCAATACAAAGATCATTTCCATTCAACCAGACATGATTTTAAACGTGCGCATCAAGTATAAATGCATAGCTATGTTCAGAGTACAGTACGCTGAAGAACCTGGAGGCCTGTCTACAGTAGCTTTTTTTTTTTTAAATTTGTAAAAAAAATTTAAAAAGCTAACCAAAAAAAAAAAAAAAAAAAAAAAAAAAGCATTTACACAATTTTCTATACAAAATATACAATGGTAAATTGCATCTTCTTTTTTAATCAAATGAAGAATTCACACCAAGTATACCAAAACACCTGCATTCATGCTTCACACTGATTCAGAGAACTATATAAACGACTCGTGCAAACATCCCCAGCTTCCATCAGGCCCTTATACGACAAGTCTCGTAAAGATTAGTGTAAACTGCAGCCCCTGGATAAAAATAAAAAGCCTTTTTAATGACTTGAGAGGCTAATGGATGACTGGGTGAATAAATAGAACCGATAGTTTGTTAACCTGGACCTTTTCAGTAGTGAATGAATGAACTGCACAATTAGATGAACCTTTAACTGGGAACCAGCAGAGCACCAGAGAATCATTCTGCAGCTTAATATACACAATACACAGTAACACCAGTTTCCTTTACATCTCAGATCTGTTATTTTCATTGTAATCTCAGGAACAAAAAGCATGTCTCATTATGAAAATCAGAAAAAAAAAAAAAAAAACTCAGAGGAAAACACTCCTCTAAATCCATGCCAGTGGGTAACATGTGCCCCTCAGTACCCAATCAGCATCAAGTGTGCACTTAGTGCACATTTTCAATGTGAGTATTGACCATAGATATAAAGACTATATTAGGTCTACATCTATGAATCTAACACACCATCAGTGAGTAAACGATCATTTCAGACCAGTGATGTTGATGTTCTCAGTTATCTAAAAAAAGAAATGCGTTAGCTGGAGATCTGTGTTTTTAATTCAACCGCCAGCAAACAGTTGTGACCAGTTTTCCTGAAAGCTGAATATCAGGGAGCCAGAAAAATAAATAGCGTCCAGAGGCCCAGTTGTTAGGTTCAGTTCAGGAGAAAGCAGGCAGCAGAGTGGATGAGGCTTCACCCCCAGTTATGATAGAGATAGAAGCATCCGAACAACAGGTTGGCCGTCAGACTCGTCAGTAGAATCCCAGGCAGGATGAAATATTTCACAATACCTGTGGGGGAAAAAAAAGAAAATGTTATTTACAAATAACATTTTCAACAACAAATATTCACATAAATGATACAGACCTCTACAGTTAAAAAAATACTAATATTTTACATTTGCTGTATTTTTCTATAAAACCCGAATATGAATGAAGTATGATGGGAGATGTGCATTAATGAAGCATGCAGCAATGTGTTTTTGGCCGGTGGGGGCAGTGTGCATAAAGCTCAACAGATCTCAGTAAAAAGCTTTACTGTTTTTCACAAAAACTATTTGTCACCCTAATAGACTGCATGTTTCTCATCATTATCAATGCTTTAATAAGACAAATATTATGATTTTTGCATTTTAATTATATTCATGCTCTTATAGCTTAATTTCCATTGTAAAGGTAAGAAAACAATAAAAAGTGAAAAGAATAAAGGCAGCTAAAAGCAGAGCTTAAAGTTGCATTACAGAAATAATATGCACAGACCATCAAACTAAGGGTTTACTGTAAAACACGAGGCTAGCTGTGAGCCTCCAGATTTATATAGTGAGGAGGAGGAAGTACAACAGCAGCTTACAGACTTATAAAAAAATGGCAACAAACCAAGAAATGTATGAGCGCTCAGCCCCCTCTCCCTGTATTTTTAATTACAGTGACAAACTCGTCACAAAAAAACAAAACTGTGGCATCACTTAGGTGGACATTCCGTTTTCCTCTTAAGTTCTGAATGGGATGATTCCTACATAAACAAGCGATACGGGGACAATTGTGCAAAACAGAGCAGCAGTGAATAGAAGAAGCTGAAAGTCTCACTTTTCTATAAATAATATGCGTTTTTGTTGCAAATGTGCAACAAACACTTGGCGTAAATTGCCGAGATAACGTGCATTCCCCCAGGGCCAGTTATAGCACATTGACTGTGGACCTAGGAACCTTTGGCAAGCTCTTGTGTTATCCTTGACTTCTAAAAGGTTTGTTTGATAATAAAATATTTCCATCATAATTGTGCTTAATATAAAGACTCATTTAATTTTGTCAACATACATCTGTAACATTATTCCTGTTCCTCCTGCTTATAAGTGAAGTGCCTACCTTTTGGGGGAGTGAAGCTCTCAGGAGTTTGTGTCGTTGTGCCAACCTGGCAGGCAGAGGAACCTGAGGAGCTGCTTTGTTTCTCCTCTTCTTCTATCACACTTCCATCTTTCATTAAGGAACTTAAATCTGCAAAGTAATCACATCAAATTACCTAAAAACCACAATCCAAGGCACTTTCACAATGAAGCAAACAACAACGTTACAGAGGCACTTAGGCTTGATGTTTAATGCTGCCATCTAGTGGTGGTGCGCACCTCCTACACCTTTCAGTCCAGATCAACCATAGCTGCTTACCATTTTGACTTTGGAAAGGAGACATGTCTCTGGAGAGGCAGCTGCTGTAAATTGAAGGAGTCGGCTCCATGTAGAACGGAAATGAGGACAAAGGGGGAGAAACCAGCTTTGGATCTGATTCACGAGAAAAAAGGCGGAGCTTCTGGCCAGTGATGTTTAGGCGGGCTGGACTAATGAGAGGACGGCGCTGTCTGGCTGAACCGGAACTGGATGTAACCGACCCGGCCAATGAAGGAGTAGGAGAGGGAACTGGGGATGAGGGACGGCTTCCAGATTTCAAAGAGAAGTAATCTGAAGAAAACCAAAACGGTAAAAAAAAAAATAATAACTCATTCAGAACGTGGTGTGAAACAACCTGATAAAATTATGTTTAATACCTGATGGTGGCGAGTCTTTGTACAGTGAGGCAGGTTTGCTACCACTAAACAGGTAACCAGAACCTGATAAGGAGAAAACACAAAATAAACTGTTCATAAATGAGAGAAACCTGAAAAGTATTTCTATTTGCTTAGAAAGAGAACAACTCTCATCGTGTTTCATCCTGAAAAGATCAACGCAATTTGAGAAAACCTGCATTAACACAATGAACACAGAGCAAAACCTCCACTAAACTGAACTCTGTTTTAAAGCCTTAAATGTTTTCAGTCTGAGGAGTCCCCATCGCCCTTAAAACCTCTATGGTTCAAACATCAACCAGGTTTAGAGGGGCTTTTAAAAGGACATCAGAAGTACAAACATCAAACGTCTACCTTATTCCATTACTTTTTGTCAACATATTGTTTCACTAGCAGAGGTAAATAAAGCTGGACTAAGACATTTAATATTATGTATATCCAAAAACATACATTTTTCAGACCAAAAACTACACAAACGCATATTAAACATTTTAGGCCTGAAATGTGAGCCGCAAAAATGTTCCACATTACTATGCCCTGGATTTTATTATTATTCTTTGGCATAAATGTAAATACAGTTTGTATCATTACATTTAAGTGGAAGGCTATAATCAGCTGGTTCAGCTCTTTCCTTCAGTTTGCTGTTTATTGCAGATTTTATTCAGGTAAATAAAAAAGGTCTTCATTCTGAAAATAAACACTTAGATGTTTGTCTAACTTAAAAAAAGACTATATGCAGCTTTCAAACAGCACAATGTAGATTACCTTTATATTGAAATAACACTGAAAGCTCAAAACCTCCAATTTTAGTTTGCAGCCATTTTTCTTTAGAATGTTGAAATTGTTTTATTAAACTCTAGAGCCATACTTAATTCCACAAGCCATTTAGAGTTTTTTTTAAGCATTTATGGCTTTTTTTTTCTCCATTTCTGCAGACTTAAAATATTTAAATCAAATAACTGACCAGTTGAAGCTTTGAGCCACATTATTGAAATGAATCCATACAAAAAAAACTACATAGAGCATATTCAAATCCAATTTTTCATCTCACACTGGAAAAACGATCTAGAAATAATAAAAAAAAATGTCTTAAATTAAGTGTATTTACCCTTAATTTGAGAAGGTAAAATAGAGTTTGCATATGGAATGAGTATTTTTACTCTTAGAATAAGATATTTAGATAATATGCACTTGAAATAAGAGAATGCAACTGTGTTTTCTTATTTTAAGTGTAAAATGTCTTGTTCCATTGGCAAAATGTCTCTTTTACCTCCTTAATCCAAGAACAAATGCACTTATTTTAAGAAAAAAAAAGACTGATCTAGATTTAGATTTTTTCCAGTGCATGGTTACCTGTCCTGGTGAGGGAGGGAACTGTTCCGAGGCAGAGGGCTCTGCTGAGGCGCCCTGGCAGAGTGGAGGGGGAAGATTTGCGCTCGCGTGGACTGCGCTGGCGGTTTATCAGCTCAGAAATGTTGGGGGGCGGGGCGAGGAAGAACGAGTCTGCCATGTCTGAAGGGTGTAAGGGAGCAGGATGGCTGCTGAAGGGTGGACTTGCAGAGCTGTCTGCAAGGTATCTGCAACACAAAGGCAACGTAATGGTCTACTAGCTGGAAACAAGATCGGAACCAAACGGTGCTGCTACTGAGAAAATATTCTGCGCAGCATCAGTGAGGATATTCAGAGGTATAACAATACTGGATTTATAGTTAGAGATAATTTCCTTGTTAATAATACTGAGAAAAATATATAGCCTAAGGCAAAGAGAGAAAACAATGAAATTCATCTACGGTAAAGTTCCTGCAGAACAAATATATCTGAAAATGGAAACCATTCATTCAGCTTTGGCTTTACAAAAAACAAAAAAACTAAGAAAACACATAAAACAAAGATGGGAACTAATTCAAAAGGTGAGGAAGTAATAAAAAGTCATAGTTGGTAATGAAAAGTTCAACATTCAAAGAGAAAAGAACAGGAGAAACGAGGACAGATGTGACATGTTAGATTAGAAAAAAATACCAGAAGCCGAGGGTTTATTCATTTGTTTATTAAAGTTCACAAGCAGTCCTACAAAAAACTAGAAAAATAAAGCCTGGCATCATGATTATACAGGTATCCAAAGCACTACACACCCATCAGAAGCAACAACATAACAAATGCTTCCAGTGGATGTCGCCATAATACAGATCAAACTTTCAGAAAGTCTACCAGATTTCACAATCTGTTAAAAAACGCATCTATGGGTTCCTTTTCTTCATTTTTTCACCAACACACATTACTGAAACGTTCAAAAATCACAATAACACACAGGAGTATAAATATCAGCTTAGTGAAAGGTGGCAATTAATACTGAAATACCACAAAGTCGATGTTTGTAGATCTCAGTGTAGTTTTAATGTAGTGATTACTATAAATGTTTCAATACAGTGCTTAAGTTTAATGCTTTATTTAGCAAAATCTAACACACAGCTTAGTACACTGATACAGAAATGTACTTAAAATACACAAAGTTAAATACTAAGGTGGTTTGATGAACATCACAGCATGGAAAACATGAGGACTAAACATTACAGACCAAACTTTGGCACAGCATGGAGAACCTGGGCAGGCTGTACTTTTACATAAACAATAATTCAACTTAAACCCTTACAGAGTAATCAGATTTTTATTAACGGAGCCAAATAAGTTTGTTTTAGTCTGGTGGGTTTAAAAAAAAATCAAAATAAACTATATTGCCAATCACATCACTAAATCTATGAATTCAGACACTTCATTGGCACACATAGGTATAGTTTTTGTTTGGCGGTTTGACCTCCATCTTAACCCATGAGGCTTGAATGAATAAAATAAAAGTGATGTTGGCAGTATAGTGTAACTATGTTATGAATTGCATTACGATGCACTTTTAGGAAAAAAAGTTTATATATTTCACTTGGATTTTATGTTAGGCTGTAAGAAACAAAAATACCAAATGTGAAATGGATTTAAATTCAGCACCCTTTACTCAGGTGCCCTTAAATAAAATGCAGTAGAACCAGTCACCTCCTGAAGGCACCTGGATTAAAAGCCCATCTAACCCAGCAGTATAAATACAGCTGTCAGTATTGATTAGAGTTAAGGAGGTTGATGGAAATAAAATGTTAAGGATTATTCTTCCCTTTAATAAATATGAACAGCTTAGTGTTGGTCCATCACATCAAATCCAAGTAAAATACTGTTTGTTGTAAAATGACAACAATTTTTTGAACAAAATAAAAGGGTATGAATACTTCTATAAGGCAAATGTAGCAACAGATTCTGCATTGTCAGTGTACACTTCAGTAAAATTTTTTCAAAGCATCCAAGTTGTATCTGGATAAAAAAAAAGTTAATTCACAGTAATAAATATAGAAAAACTACCTTAGGGGTTGATAAATAATTCAAAATAAACTACTTTAATATAACAATGTTCACAGTCTGTCAATCAATGACAATCCTACCTACTTTAGTTAATACTGCTCTAAAACAATCTGTGCAGTTAGTGAAACATTTAACATAATTTTCATTCAGTGTAAACGATATAAGTAAAGGGATTTGTGTGAATTGGTGTTAAGTTCATGCAAAGTTAGTATTTCTAATGCATCAACAGGTAAAAAATGACAACTAAATGATTTTTAGTATTGAACAAATGTTTCACGTCAAAATACTAAGAGTGAAACATAAACTAAAATGTTAGAGATCACACATAGAATTTTAAGTATATTTTTGTTTATACATCCCCTACATATTAGCCTGTTTAAATCACGAGTCAAATATCTTAGGATGCTCAGACAACACCTCCGCCAACATGACACGGTCTGTTGGCACTTACGTAAAGAACGCAGAAAGCAACACGGTAGCTGCCGCAGCTCTGGAGGCTAAAGCATAAGAAACCCATAAATGTGGGGACAAAAGCTATGTAACCATAACGTGGAGCAAAACAGTCTACATTTCTACAATTTACATGTAATTTTTTAACATAAAGCGTGCAATATTTTTTCCAATTCAGTTACCATTAGTATTAAAATGTTTATGCACAACCCTATACATAGCAAACACTTTCCGTTAATTAAAAGTTTTAAGGTGAAGATCGAGTATCCTTTTAAAGAAATGCTAACACTGCTAACAGCAAAAAGCCAGAGGTTAGATCTGAACACAGAATCTGACAAATAAAAAAGTTCAAAATGAAACCTAATGAAATTACAGACGCTATAGAACAGGGATGTTAAACTGGTTCCAGAAAGGACGGCGTGGCTGCAGGTTTTCTTTCCAACCAAGTAATAGCACACCAGACTCCAGTCATCTCATCAAGTCATCATGTTAAGACTGGACTCACTTGATTGAACCGGGACTGGACTCCTAGCTACAGAGCTGTAGGAAAGTAACCCGGTTTGCCTGAATCAGGCGTTGTCATCATAACCTTTTGCCAACATGCTAGCTTGTGTTTCTTTACATTATAAAAACAAATGGCTATAAGGATTAAGCTAAATGAAAATCCTTTGGAACCATTTCCTGCTCCTAATGTCTTCAATTATCAACTTCAATCACAAAAAGGAGCATTTTTCAGACAGAATTAACAAACCCAAACAAACACTGATAATAAATCACTAATAATTATTTGGTTTTTCACAAAGATTTAGAAATGTTCTTTTTTTGAAGAATTATGTTCTTAGTCTACATTACCAACTAAACTATTACCTAAACACAAGACATCTCATCCAGAAATTATCTTGCCAAATGGAAGGTTAATTCAAACTGTTTCGAGAAGATTTTCTTAAGTATTACGTTTTTTAAGCATGTTTTTATACCCCCACCCCCCCTACTTTTCGTAGTCTAGTGTAGCTTTTCCCCTATAAACAGCACAAGGAACAAACTGACTCTTTGCAGGAAAAACATAAGCATTGTTCACTCTTTAAAGCTGATGCATCATCCACTCGTGATCAAAATGGTTCTTTTTAAACACCCAAACTCTTCTATTGTGCAGCAGCAGATGATTTTAGCAAAAGAGTCCACAACATTTTGCTTACTATTCATGCAATAGGATGAAGGTAGCGTTAATAAATAGATCAGTACATTCAAGAAACATTCAAACACTATTTTTCTAGAAACATAGAGAAGTTAATACTGGATAGGTACGTGATTACAATCGCTCAATACTTCAGCCTGACGTGATTTTTAGAAAGGCATAAAGCTTGGTTAGTCATGTTTTTATATTGATTAATAAACGAGTAAAGAAAAGATTACTCTCACAGAATGAATGTTGAAATGTTTGCCAAACATTTTCTAAGTAGCATACATTATAAATAGAAATGGATGTTTGTCTTTCATCTTACAGGTTATTTGGCCATGATAAAAATCTATGTCTACTTTAAAATATTTTACCCTCCTGTAAAGAATTCACCACTTACATTTTTATAATGTCAGTTATTCTTAAAACAGCATACCAGGGAACAGAGAAAATGGACAGTGGAATGAAAGAAAAGACAAAACTGTAGATTTCCTCAAATAAAAACAGAGTCAGCTCCTGGAATCGATTTATATCAACTTTAAAGACTTATTGTTTTTATATTTATTAAGTGTCATAATTCCCTACATCCTATCACTCTAAATAATATAATATAGCGCCTTTTAATGCAATTCACCCATCCATGCACTAGGGCTACAACTAATGGTCAGTTTTTTTCCCTAATCGATTAATCTGTCAATTTTTTTTTTATTCAAAATTGGATAGAACATTTCCTTAAAGAATATTTTTTACAGAATTTAAACAAGGGGAAACTAAACCTTTTATTGATGAGTTCTGTATATAAAGTATTGACCAAGAAAATGTCTCAACCTTAAATGCAAAAATAAATTATATATATAAAATAACTAGCATAATAACTGCTCTAAGTGGGTTGTAAATGGATGTTCTAGAGTCTCTATACTCCAGTTAACTATTTATAGTTAACTGGACTAATTGATAGCTAAATTAGTTAACATTTTTTCATAATCGATTAATCTTATTCTTTCAGCCCTACCATGCAAATTAAATCATCGATAGTGAGCTGCTTTGTAGCCGTATCAATGTGTCTTGAATGTGCACGATTTAAACTGCCACTGCTGCCAATATTAAATGTCTTTAGGAGCTCAGATGCAGTAAAAGACGGCAAGTGTTGAAAATATTGGATATTTCAAAACAAGCTGGAAAATTTTGGCCCAAAACCAATCGATATGGATACCTCAAATTTGCACTTAAATATTCTCAGTTGAACATTTTTAGAGCTACAGCTAAAGATGACTCTACATATCGATTACTGTGTTGAATATGTTTACAATTACTTTGATAGCAAAAGGTGCTTTATAAGACATTTTTAACCATTTTAAACCAGGTGAAGCTGAAACGGACACTTAAGTATTTCTGGAAATGATGGGTCAAGATTCATTGTTCTGGTTTGTCTCTCTTAAATCCACCAACAGTAAATCTTTTCTTTTCCCTCGAGGCTAATTGTGGGAAAACATTGACTGCAAGATGCACATAATTTCCAAATTAGTATAATTTTAAAAATCAATTTATAGATTTAAGTTTAAATAGCATTTGTTGAAAACGCTGCTCTTAAATCCATCCAGGTTTGAATTTGAAGATGTCTGGTTACTTCATCGCAAGAAATTTTGACAACTCATTCTAACCACCACAAATGTCAGTTCATCATTCTTATAGTGAAAGCTTTTATATGAGGAAAACTGACCGCAGCTAAGTTAGATCTGGTTGCACAAAACACTCAGAGAAGACCACTTTTATACACTCAACATTCAACCACAATGTGAACACAGATTACTGCTCAGATTCTGACCTTCGATATCTGCCTCTTCGCTGGGCCGACGGTTTGTGAGTTGCAGCTGCAGCCGCGAGGCTGATGAGACAGCAGAGGGAGATGCTAGCAAGCTTTACTGTTTCCATCCAGCTCGGACAATCCGCCAAGTAGCTCTCAGCCAGGTAGAGACACAGGACGACAAACCACAGAACAGAGGCCATAGCATCAATTCTTCTCAACCTGGAAAATAAGAAGAAATATATATGTTTTTTGTGAAAAGAAAATATCCTATAATTAGAAAGAACAGTTAAAGATATAGTGTATGCTTACCGCATAGGTCCTGCTAAGAAAATAGCCGTAAGACAAGTCATGAGGCCAACAGACACCATCGCCAGCTGGTTGTCCCTCCCATGCTGCCAGACTAACTTGGCATTTTCGATGGCCTTATCTGGGATGAAATCCAGGAAACCCTGCCACACAGGAAAATCTGTCGTGCTATCATTTTTGGCGGAGGATTCCTTGCTGGATTTTAGCTTTGGAGGAACGACGCCTCCACTTAAGGTCTCTGGCCCATTCTGGGATAGAGGCTGTTCTGGTATTTTATAGACAAACGTAGCAAGGAGGAAAGAACAAATCAGGAAGGCAAGGACCCGTAGCAGTATGACACCGGCAGGTGAGGACTGAGAGTGGGAGCTCTGTGGGAAAGAAAACAGGGCTTTGTTTTTAATCGACGTTATAACACATGATTGGGAGAAAAAAACAAAAAAACAATGTTCTATACCATTTTTCTATGTTTGAATGCAATAGAGCTACGTCTATACTTTACGACATAATTTGATTATAATAATTGATTTAGCGGTTTGTTTTTTTACTGACCTTAACGAACCCGGGGTCTGATTCTCGGGAGCGCCGAAGCTGATGGTTTAGGAGCCTTGAACGAAGCTGGCGGTTTTGATATTTTATATAATATTCTACCGCTGTCTGACAAGGTCTGCATAACTTGTAGGTCTGCTCCAAGTGGTGCTTGTAGGCTTCAATTTCATCATCATAATTGTCCTACAAAAAGTGAAACAAAAGAGATTCAGAATAGATACCTCCTTAAAGATCTGGGGCTTTAAACTAAGTTAAAGAAACAGGGAGCTTACATCATCCCTGGGAACATATGAAGCCAACTGTTTGATTTTTGCAGTCTGGTTATTATTGCACTTCCTGCACAGCAGCATTTGACAGTTTACAAACTGCAGAGTCTTGGGTGTCTCAGATGACGGGAGGCTTCCTGATACTCCATGATTAAGATGCTCCATGTACTGGGCTGGGATGGGTTTGTTGTAATCCCCATTCTTATAAAACAAACAAACAAAAAAACAAACACAGTCATTAAATAAATTTTAAATACCAATATACATCAATATTATTATTAAAACCAAAGTATAAAATTACCTCTTGGAAGCCATTGTATTGGTCACAGTTGGGACAATCCCAACAGTTCCTGTTTCCATAAGGCACCACTGTGTTCTGATTGCAGAACCAGCAGTTTACATTTGCATATGTGGGCTTCTTCCTGCAAGTTAGAAGCAAGTTTATAGTATTTATCAAACATTCTGCTGCATATTCCTCCACAAATCCCAGGAGCAGCATTTAAAAGTATGAATGATTAAAAAAAAAATAAAATATTGATTGTTAGAGGTCACAAACTTGTTAAACGGTACAATTACAAAAAAATGACTGTTTAAGTCTTACCAATCCAGCTTCGTCATTTAAAATGGAAAGCTAAAGAAAAGTGTGGGGATCTTTGAAGTTCTCTAAAGGTGCAGTGATTTTAAAGCAACAGCAATTACTAAGACTGAAGGCTCTTGGCCTTAAAATGTAGAAACTCAGTTGTTTGGTAACATTTCTAGTTGTAAAAGGAAAATCAGTCCTTATATGTTCACTAAAGAAATGCCACCTGTCACTTATTTTAGGATCAACCAATACACCACTCAATGGGGGAAGACTGGCACAGTCTTATCAGTCAATATCGGTTTCGGCCAACTATCAAATCTGCAATAATCTCTATCATGTCGGAAATAATAAAAGTTGTATTGGGACATCCATATAAAAAAAATACAACAATATATATAAGAAATTGTTGGTGAAAAAAGGCTGGATCTGAGAATGTCCAGATAATATTAGGCATTAATTGATGTATTCAAAGGATCAAACAGTTTACTTGAAACCTTTATTATAAAAGAAAACAGTAGGTATTTGTAATAATTAATGTTTTCATTATAAAATCTCAGTCATACAGGACATTGGTGGGAGTTTGCTTATGAGTCCACATTGTCAGTAATAAACTTCGACATTAAAATGCTAATTTGCCCAAACCCCATCATCCTTGTTGTAGCATTTTGCTGAACCACAGTTCATGACATCTCTACAGGAGGGTTTGTTAATACAGCTGATGGCAGCATTAGCACACAGGCTAACGTATGCTAGGAAAAAACTGATAAGATAAACGCGCCAAAATGCACTTCATTTCTTGACCAAGGAATATGTGTTATAAATGTTATGGTGTTTTCTTCTATAAAGGAGAAATGTTACACTCTACATCTAAACTGAAAATATTTTGCTATCCAGGCTAGCAGGCATATGACACTTGTTTAGTTGGGGGGGGGGGGCGGAGCGTTTACCTGGTGGCAATTTTGTAGATCAGCGCTCCGCCTGCTAGAAAGGCCGTAGCTCCGACTCCACCGTACATTAAATGTGGGTAATCAAACAGCAACATGTTAAACGTCTCCATTTTTAAACTCGTATCTGACCGTAGTGACTAAACTGTAGCGAAAAACACGGCGCGAGGACGCACGCGGTAAGCAAACCCTTTTTGTTCACGCCCCTGTATGGGAAGCGGAAGTGCGTAACGCTTGGGCGTTCCATTCAGTTCTTCCTCTTCTTTTTTTTATGGCGATTGGCAAGTAACTTATTGATGTACATTACCGCCATCTACTGGAATGGAGTTTGGGCTGGGATGTTTTATATAAATTATTATATTCAGTTACTTACGTCAAAATATAATCTGCAAAGTTACAAAATTGGTCTTGTTAGTAGTAGTCCTCTTAATAAAAATATAACCAAGTTGGCAGAGGTAAAAACGTTCTCTCAGTGTTAAATGATGGGATTTATTGTGAAGTTAAAAAAGAAAAAAAATCACAAAACAGAACCAATAACTGTATTTTAGTTAAGCATATTAAAATTTACATTTTGCTAATAAGATTACATTTGCAAATATGTAGACTTTGTTCGGAAATTATACGTTTTACCAATTTTTTATTGGCTGTGTTCTTTAGTTTAGAATTTAGGACGACAAAAAAAAAAAAAAAAACCCACACAATTCCGCTTTTTTATTTTTATTTATCAGTGTAACCCTCTAGAAAAAAATTATAAAGAACCCGAAGCCAGTGGTTTCCTCTTACCCATATCCTCCGCTCAGTTCGAGTCGCTTTCCTTTTTTTCCGAGGTACTCTAAATGCATCATGAAAGCCCTTTCCAGTGAGGTTGAGATTAATATTTTTAAATGTTTTACAGAATTGAAGCACCTCTATCGATATTTCATACGTACAAAAAACAGTTTGAAGGAAGTTTGGAGTTTTTCTTTTGTTTGCTTGTTTCTATAATATAAATAAAATCAATAAAAAACAACAAAATTCGAGTCAAATATGGTTCCCTCTAGTGATGCAGGCCAGACAAAGCTAAAGCTTGCAGGCTAAAATCTTAAATTTAACCTCTATATTTTAATCTATTAATAATGTTCCGCAGTACAATAAAGGCATTGAGAATTAGCCTTAGCTAAAATGTTGTAGTGTGTGACATGATTCATGAAACATACTTGTCCCTATCAAATAAACGAATTAAAAAAAAGATTGAAACAACCAATGACAGCAAGTAATGCAAAAACTATTTTTTATTCAAACGTTTTTTACACAATGAAACACTTCATTATGTAGGTTCTAAACGACTCAGTGCTTTACTGCCACTAACTGTAGCAGCTCGAGAATTAGAAAAATAAAAAAATATATAAATAAGGTATAGAAAAATGTAAAGCTTGTATTCAACATGTTTCTGTAAATGCAAAACATATGAGAGAACAGAAAATATTTAGACCGATTAAGCTTTACAAAATATTTACCACCTCAACAGGAAAAAAAGCCTGTAAATTAAATTTTATGTAATTAAGAAAAAAACATAAATGAAATTAGTAACATTTACGTGCTTCAATTCAACCATCAAACAATGAACACCTGAATAAACAGCCTGAAATGGTGAAGCACATGAACTGATTGTCTCTGGTCAGCATGGCTGAAGTCCTTCACTGATCAGGGGAAATAAAACAGCCGCTCCTCCGCCTGCCGGGTGTAGGCGGTGAACTGCGGGTAGCTGCAGGCCACAGAGACGGCGCCTCCCCCCGGGCTCAGCGGCGGGGTCACCCCTCCATAAGGGTACCTGTTGTGAGGAACCAGCACAGGCGGGTGCTGGTGTTGGTACGTCCCGTACACGGAGTGTTGGAAGTGGGGCGGGCAGTAGGAGCTGCTGGGAACTCCTCGGGTGGTTCCGGGGACGATCTGCGGTGCAGGGTACCCGCTGGGATCCGGGATACCCCAGGAGCCGCTGTAAGGCTGGAAGTAGAGCGGCTCTGGATAGTCCCCTGTCAGGTAGTGGAAGCTGGGGGGTCTGTAAGGTCTCCGCACCCTCCTCCGGCGCCGGTAGTTCCCCTTTTCAAACATCTCCTCAAACTCCGGGTCCAGCATCCAGTAGTTCCCCTTTCTGCCCTCTCCGCTGTCCCTGGGGACCTTGATGAAACAGTCATTGAGAGACAGATTGTGCCGTATGCTATTTTGCCATCCTTTCTTGTTCTTCTCATAGTAGGGAAACTTTGATATGATATAATTATAAATCCCGCTCAGCGTCTCCTTCTTCTCGTGGCTGTCTTTGATGGCCATGGCAATCAGAGCCACGTAGGAATAAGGTGGTTTCTGCAGCTGGTCGGTCCCCTCCTCAGGCTTCTGGGAGCCTGTTCCAGGAGAACAGGAGCTGGGATCCAGAGGCTGCATTCCCTGCTCTGCATCCATGGTTCAGGTGGATCAGCCGGCTGTGCGCCTCTCTGCTGGAAGTGGAATGTCTGAATGGCGCAAATGTGCCAGGTGCATTCACCCCACCCACAGGTTCAAAATAAATGTAACAAGCGCCTTCTTTCATCTGGTAGGTTCCCACGCTGTTTACACCTTAATGTATGAGGCTAAGCAGAGGGTTTTTGGTTGAAGAGTGAAATCTTGAAAGAGAGATTTTTTTCCCATGGTAAAATCTGACTACAGGTGGGCAGGGATGGTTCTTTTGATCTCAACTATTAAAAAAAAATGCTGTTGCATCAATAATTTCTTGTTCTAAATATATGAGCACCATATATATATATATATATATATATATATATATATATATATATATATATATATATATATATATATATATATATATTCACACACGTTTTGTTGCCTTTCAGTAGTTAAAAAAATAACTTCTATTAGAAAGACTGTTATATGAAAAATTTGTGACATTTATAGAAGTCAAGGATAACGTACACATTAGGGATCGGTTGTAATGGAAACAAGAGCTTGCCAAAGGTTCCTAGGTCCACACTCAATGTGTGATAACTGGCCCTGGGGGAATGCACGTTATCTCGGCAATTTATGTAATGCCAAGTGTTTGTTGCACATTTGCAACAAAAACGCAGATTATTTATAGAAAAGTGAGACTTTCAGCTTCTTCTATTCACTGCTGCTCTGTTTTGCACAATTGCCCCCGTATATATATATATTTAAAACAATTAATCCTACTAATCGTGATTAATCGATTATTGCTCTTATTGATTAATCGTTAACGATAGCTTAGAGACTCTTGTGTCTTTACCTGACAGAGCAGCCCACTTACATCAGCAGTTAAACCAACATAAAAAAAAAAAGAATTTTTATTTTTTTTTTATTAAGGATTAAAAAAAAATGTTTTGTCTGTCAATATGTTCTATCCAGAACTCCTCACCAGGGGTGGAGCTAGATGGGGGGCAAGGGGTGGCCATGGCCATCCCTGTGGCCACCCCTACCATTTTTTTTAACCACTAATACAGACAGTGGCAGCAGTAATACTCTCAACTGGAATTTTCAAAACATTTTCATTTTTCATATATCAACTGGAATTTTCAAAACATTTTCATTTTTCATATATCAACAATTACTTGACAACAAAAACACTGTGGTTAATTATGCGCATCCATGTACTAACATTAGAGATGATAAGTACAGAATTCATACTCTTTTCAGAACTAGATTTTGTGTTATATGGGGTAAAGAAAAAATTATGCTTCACACATCTAGGAGTCTTCAGTGAAATCATAGAAAAATAAGAATTTTAATAAAAACATATTAAATGATTATTATATGTAGATATGAGTGCTTGTAAATATCAATTTTATGCAGAATGATGAATGATACAAGTAAGTAAGTAATGACAATGGAAAAGAACTCAAACTTATAAGATAATATATCCACTATACCTTTTATCTAGGAAGCACAGATGTTTAAATATATGCATCTATTTGTTAGCAAAGGCTGTAGGAAAGTATAGTTTGTCTTTATTTAGAAAATATGGATGTTATGCTTATTAATTTTCCTGTAGGAACAGTGTAGATTGACCATGAGGTTGTGGTGCTATCCCTCAGTGTACATCAGTTATTGTTTGGCCATCCTTAAAAAAATTTTCTGGCTACACCTCTGCTCCTAACGTGGATATAATTGCTATTATAGGATCTATTCAAGTTGTCTCTTTTTTTTTCTTTGCATTGAGCTCTAAAAAAAACCATGAAAAAGTAATATACCGTATATAAAGTCACAAATGAATAACTGATTTTTTTATCCTTTAGTTCCTTTTTTTGAACCAGTGCTATTAGACAGGCTGACTGGGATTTCCCAAGGACATGGTTGAAAAGCAGTATAGCCGGCTTTCAGGTTATCAACGTCAAACTTCCCAGTGAGGTATGAACAGCAGGCCTGTCAATCCGCTCATGGCACCAGATAATGATCACCTGCTTTGCCCAGACAGCCTGTCTCTCTAAACTGATCAGAAAAGGAAGCAGCCAGTACAGAAAACAGAAATGGTTCTGACGCAGATTTAAACACAACTTCTTTTTTAGTTCAGGCAACACATTTCAATTACAGTCTTTATAGATATGCAAACAAAAATCAAGCTTTTAAGAATGAAAATGTAAACTGTTGTATATCAGAAGTATGACTATACTAGGTTCTTAATAAGATTGGACAGAAGGGATAAGGTTTATTACAAGATGCTTTATTGCAACCGACACTCGATATAATCCATCATAGACTCCACTAATGCACTGGCCAAACTGTGCCCAATTGACCGGTAAGGCTCAGACAGATTGCACCAATCACAGAGTGGAAGGAGGAAGTTTTCACTTGGGTCAGAACTACCCATATGTTTCATTATGGGTAGTTGTGATAACAGTGCTTTTCTGTATCCAGTTCGGATTGCAGCTGGAACAGAACAATGTTTAATGATGCCCCTTAGTATCCTGAATGGGCTATGTCTTTACAATTTCAACAACTGGCTGCTACAAGAGCCTTTATTTTTTAAAAGACATTTTTGCATCACATTTGTAGTTGCCTGATTGGTTCTAACCTGTTTTAAACTTTTAGTCCCTACTTTGACACTGGACTCTACCAGCACCTTTTCAGACTGATACCTGGTGTATGCAGCATTAGTTAGTCTGGTTGGCCAGGCTAATGAATTTGGTCAAATCATACAACATTTCTGGAGGTTGACCCTCTGTCGCTGTCGTGGCCCTTGACAGTTCAGTGATCAGTTTATAGTATTTTAAGCTTATTAAAGGATTGCTTTGGTGTTTGCTGGTATACCAGTAATCAGCCATCTATGTAGTTGGTCTAGAGAAACCACCAGGGTATTGCATCCTAGCCAACCTGTTACCGGCACATTTCTGGGGAAGTTATGATGTTTGCTAAAAAATTAAATTCTTTATTGTGTTAGATGGATGTAAACTTGAACTATTTGCACTGGTTCTCAAAGGGCTTCTTATGTTCTGTTGTATATCAGCTGTGTCAGGCTGCAAGAAGGCCCTGGGTTCTGGCCTGGGCTCTTTCATATGAAGTGTCAGTTTTCTCTGGGTACCCTGGCTTTCCTTCACCATCCAAAAGTCTTTTTGGTAAATTCTTGACATTTCTACAAATTGTCCTTGGGTATGACTGTGTGTGTACATGATTGCTGATTTTGTTTTGTGTTTGTGCCTCTTTGTTGCCTAAGATGGATCAATGACCAGTTCAGAGTGTGCTTCAGCTCTGCAAGGATAGCTTCTTTAAGGAGCATAAAGATCACTAATATTTTATGGCTGATTGCCAAGTGACTCTAAATCTGCATCTAATATTCTTAACTCTTAATTCATACTCTTTGTTGGAGAATTATGACAAATTTATTGGTTTAGCAGAATGCTGAGTAAACAGGAAGTACGTTACAATCTCTACATCTTGCATAAGAATTTCTCATTGTTTTGATTTTTCTAAAAGAGTTCTTCGTCTCATCAATCATTGCCTTAAAGAAGTCAGTTTGTAATAATTCAGTCTGCCTATTTAAAGAACAAAAACCGCTCACTGCAGCTTAGACTGAGACAACATTTATTGTTATTTTGTATACAGAGTGTATAGAAAGGTACATTTCCTTTGGTACAGCTCTCATGACATTTCCAGTTTCTTAAAGTGCAGCAGTGATCAAATGTAAACATTGTGGGAGGAAAAAACACGCATCACAGCAAATGCATTGATGTGGTCAGTTTGATGCAGAATCTGTGACATGATTTAGAGTTTTTTTTAAAATTCAGCTGTCCAATAGTGGTGGGGAAGAAGATTTTTTGGAATCTGTTGGACCTGTATAGAATGCTGTGAAGCCTCTTCCCAGAAGGCAGCAGGGAGAACAGTCCATGATGGGGGTGTGAGGGCTCAGTGATGATGTTACCGGCTCAGGAACGGTTGGGATGAAATGTCTTTTATGGAGGGAAGAGGAGCCCAAATGAGCTTCTCTGCTCTTCTCACCACTCTTCTCACCACTCTTCTCATCTTTTTCCAGTCTGAGGTGCTGCAGCCTCACCACACAGTGAGACAGCTGGTAAGAACGCTCGCTTTAGAGCTTCTGTAGAAGGTCTTGAGGATTGGTGGGGGAATGAGGGCTCTCCTCATCCTCCACAGGAAGTACAAGCACTTCTGTGACCTTTTAACCAGTGAGGTGGAGTTTACAGTCCAGGTGAGGGTGTCAGTGATGTGCACCACCAGGGATTTGGTGCTGCTGATGAGCTGCTGATGAGCAGTGGAGCGTACGGTTAGGCCGGTTCTTCCTGAAGTCATTTTCTCCACATTCAGGATCAGTCTGTTATCTCTGCACCAGCCCAACAGCTGCTCCACCTCCTCTCTGTAGTCCTGGTCGTTGTCGTCTCTGATGAGGCCCACCACTGTGGTGTCATCTGCAAACTTCATAATGTCAGTGGTGGTGAACCTGGAATGCAGTCGTGTGTCATCAGGGTGAACAGCAGGGGGCTCAGGACGCAGCCCTGAGGGGAGCCTGTGCTTAGACTGATTACTGATTATGTCAGAGGTGTTCTGTTCGACCCGGACTGACTGAGGTCTGTTTGTGAGGAAGTCTGGCAGCCAATTGCAGAGGGTGTGTATTGAAGCCCAGCTGTTCTAGTTCTCCTATCAGATACTGTGGGATGATGGTGTTGAAAGCTGAATTGAAGTGCAGGAACAGCATCTGCATGTGGGTGTTCTTTTCCTCCAGGTGGAGAACAGAGGAGATGACATCTTCAGTGGAGCTCTTTCGTCAGTAGGCAAACTGGAATGGGTCGAATGCTGGGGGGAGAGTGGAGACGATGTGTTCTTTAACCAAGGTTGGCATCATGTTTTGCTGCACTGAACATAGAATTATTGCAGGAGTTTGAAAATACATTTAAACATAAAGCCTTACCAGGCTAGCTCCAGATGCCTTGCTGTATAATGTGAATGATTACCATAGAGCCCAAAACTTAATTGAAATGGGTGAATTTCA